TATATATTATAATTTTTACTCGGTCGTTTTTTTAATTTCCTATTCTCGTAATAACGTAAATAGTAGTTCATAAAAAAGCCCATAATTTATGCCCGGTCAAATTTTAAACCGAGAAAATGAACGAGCCACCATCAATATCTCTTCCTTTTTTCCTTATATTTTTAGGTAGCGTGGCAAGCTTGGAGGCCAAATCTTTGGGCGATTTAACTCAATCGGACGGTTCCTTGAACGAAAAGGCGATAATTTTCGCTTTGCTACGTCACAAATCGCCAGACTTTATATGGGACTGTCGAAACGACTTCGTCGATTGGCATCGTAGCCTTAGCAGCAACACGGTCCTCAACAGATATCAAAAACCTTCCGTCTACACATCCAAGGTTACAACAGTATCAACTAAAATTTATCGACAACAAGAATATCGTCATAATCGTCCGTTTAAAATGTGAAATATCGTTTCAATCGAGATAATGTGTGTGTGTAGCTAGGAATGGCTCGTTTGTTGGAGGACGCACACTGGTTGTACGAGAAGGACGTGTCCTCGGTTTTGTTCCCGAGAAGTTACAACCTGAGCAGGGAGCCGAAAATCTTTCTCGAGGATTTCCGTCTAACGGCCGCGGCAGGCCTCTTGAAATGGTTCGTCGAGAAGATGCAAGATTGCTGCGAACAGAATTGTTGCAACTTGTGCGGCCACCGGCCGATCCTCATGAACCGGCTCGAATTCGCTATGAAACGTTGCGAGGAGTTCATCGCGTGCGAGAATCATCAGAACATCGACGAGGACATAGTGACCGAGTTCACCGAGGAGGAGTGGAATTCCTTTCTCGACGATTATATGGCGGCTGTGCACGAGGGCGCTGGGATCGAGACCAACGAGAAGTATCAAGACCAAATACCAGTACGCCCTCTCTATTTCCTCTCTTCGCGTTCAAAAATCTTGGAACGAATTTTTAATCGAGTGTGCTGCTGTTTTTTTTTTCTTTTTTTTTTATTTTATTCAGAAATACGTCGAGATGGCGAGTTCGATATTGGCGAAAATGAAGGAGGTCGACCCGCAATACGAGTTGAACGGGATGAGGAACATGTGGATTTTGAAACCGAGCGAGCTTTGTTGCGGTACCGGGATCAGCATATCTCACAACTTGAAGGATATATTTCGCAAGATAAAAAGTCGGCCCAAGGATTACTTCATCGTTCAGAAATATATAGGTAAGATGGAAAGTAAAGTTGTTTATTAAATCTCGAGTCGTCCCTTCGACATCATTTTTTAATTTCAGAGCATCCTTTACTGGTTCACGATACGAAATTTGATATAAGGCAGTGGTTCTTGGTCACAAACACGTTTCCTCTCACGATATGGATATTCAAGTAATTACATCCATGATATCATGCGATTTCTGATCTATTATA